CACCAGCAGGTATTTCCCCATGGAAAGGGGGTCAGGCCTCAGCAGGGGAAATTTGGAGTCTCCATCTCTGGAGGTGTCCAAGGAGTTCCTGGAGGTGGCACTCAGGGCTCTGGGCTGGGGACAAGATGGGGATCAGGCACAGCTGGGACTGCATGGGCTGGGAGGGCTTTTCCAGCCCCAGGGATCCTGGGGTTCTGTGAATCTCAGTCCCAAAGCCCAAGGTGTGCTGCTCTGTGAATATCCCAGGATGTGAATATCCCCCATGACCCAATTCCCAGTCCAAGGCAGGGGAGCCCCTGGTGGGAACAGCAGAGGGTGCTGCAGGCCCAGAAATTCCCAATTCCCAGAGTTTGGATTCAGGAAGCGTCCACTCCCCACTCATGGATCTGTAGCTTTTCCAGTGTCATTTTCTTTGAAAGACTCTCCTGCTGTTCAATACCCCTGCAGTTCTAGGGACATTGACACATGACTGATAGTCCTTAAATATTCCAATTCACTTCCAGCCCAGTGTCCACCACCTGGACACAGCTGGCAGGGAGCACCATTCCCACAATATTCCAAGTTTTGCAGGACATTCTCCTTTTCCAATCACAAATAGAGCTATAACATGCCACGCAGACTTCTTCCAGTTTCGTGTTCATGTTACACCTGGCACGAGGCCCCTGGGGCAGCTCCACAGGGATTTAACTCCTCCCTGCCCCTCACTCACATGGGGCTGTATTTGCCAGCAGTGAAAAGTCTTTATTTTATTTTATTTTTAAAAAAATATTGATGTGTAGAACAGAATCATTTCTGTTTATTTCAACTCTGATTCTATTCTAGAACTTTTTGGCCTTATCAAGTTTCTGACATCTCTGAGGCTCAGGAAAACCCCTGGATGGGAAGGGCAGAGGTGCTGCCTTGGATCCCAAGGAATTCCCGGGATGCAGACAAACCCAGGAGCACTGGGACCCCCTGGAGCACTGCTCTCTCCATAATTGGTCCCAATTTCAGGACTGTTATGGCCACTGGGATAATCCCAGTGCCAGGTACATTTCTAAGGAGAGAGGATGAGCTGCAGCTTTAATGGGATTAAAGGAATTCTGTAAAAGCAGCAAATTCTGAGCTCTGGATTCACCAAGTTGTGTAACACTGAATCCCCTTCCCTGTCTCCCAGAAATGCCACTGCTCCTGATCATCCCTGCTCCCTTCCTCAGGAGAGGGAAAATGGCTGCATTTTCCACGGATTCCATCAGAGCACTGTCTCTTCACTCCTCCTTCCAATAAGGATTTAATTCCTTGGAAAAGATCTGTTTAACTGCCCAGAGTTTGCTCTCATGCTTTGTCTTTAAACTCATTCCAGACCAGGGCTGGACAACAGTTGCCTGCTTTATTTCAAATATCCCTCTTTGAAATGAAAGAATACTTTTCCTTGCTTCTCCACCTGGCTCTGGAGATCAGGCTGGGCTCCTGGAAAACAAGGAGCTGTTTACAACCTGAGGAGGGATAACAAGGCTCATTTGCAAACCTGAAGCAGAGGGAGGATGGGATGCAAAGAGGCTGAAATGCCAATCACCCCCAGACTCACTCGGTGCTGCCACCAAACACCCGCAGACTCACTTGATGTTGTCATCCTGGTCTGCAAACTCCTCATCATTGAAGCCAAACTGATCCACAAAATTGGCCGTCATCTGCTGGATCTGGTACTCGGAGAAGGCCTGGGAAGGGATCCCAAAAAATCCATCAATAGGGTGTCCAGAGACATTCCAGAAACAGTCAGTGGAGCTCCTCCAGGAGAGCACTAAAATCCCAGGGAAGAGTGTGAAGCCCTCCCTCTGACCCTTCCCAGCGCAGGGTCACACAGAGCTCTGGGATCCCACCCTGATTGATGCCTCCTGCCCTGCTCCCACGTGGGTCCCAGGCCATGGAACTGCTCTGGGAAAGCCCAAAGGAGCTGAACACAGACTGGGAGCAGAGTTCAGGAAGCTGCTCCGCACCAGGACGGACCAAAGGCAGCTGGAGCAGTGAGTTTCCTGGCAATAGTGAAGATGCTCCCAACTCACCTGCTGGAGAGTGAGCTCGTTGGGAAAAGCATTTTCAATGTCCTCATCCTCGCTGGAGGAGTGCAGGTGGTGGGTGCTCACCTGGGAAAGCACAAACCAGTCAGGGCACCAGGGAAAGCTGGAAAAGCTCCAATGTTTCAGTTCCACCAAAGCCCCAACTCCTGCCCAGGCAGGAGCTGCCCCAAGGAACCCCAGGGACCAGCTCAGCACCACAGATCAGCCCTGCTGAAGGACTGTTATGAAACACGTTTATGGAAATGCTTTCTACTCTGCCTTGAAGCACTCTTCAGCAAAAGAAGGAAAATGAGAAAAAACAGGAATATCCCTTTTTTCTGTTAGGGGAAGCCCAGCAGGCACTGGAGTGACCAACTCACCAGATCCACCGTGTTTCTCCGGTTTGTCTCCGTCAGCGTCTCCTCCACAAAACTCTCCCACCTGCCCCTGCAGTCCTCAGGCAGCTCTGGAATGAGAGGGACACAGAAACCATGGGAGCTCTGAGCCAGCTCAACTCCCTGGGGACTCACCTGGGCCAAGGGCTCACAGCTTCTCTCGCCTTGCTGGGAACAACCCCGAGCAGGCTCCAGCTCTGCTTGGGACTTCCCTTTTCTCCTGGGGGCCGAGGGCACCTTCCCCTCCCATCCCTCCCATCCCTCCCAGCCCAGCACCACTGGGAGCACCAAGGTGAGCAGAACTTGAGGGCTGAGGCAGGGAAATGGGGAAATAATAAAAGGAGAAACAAGCAGAAGATTGTGCCCCCACATTGTCACTGCCCAGCTGTGCCCCTTCCTAGCCCGGCAGGGGCTGAGCAGTGGGGATGGAAAATGTGGAAAATAGAAAATCTTCCTTCTTCCCACCCAAGCCCATCTGACAAAACCAGTTCTCCAAGTGGATCCAGTGAGGGCAGGATGGACACAGCCTGGCAATGGGAATATCCCTGGTGAGCACATCTGGGGCCTCTGGGGACACAACCTCGTGTCTCTGTCCTCAGAGAGCCATGGAATCACTGAATGGGCTGGGTGGGAAGGGACCTCAAAGCCCATCCAGTGCCACCCCTGCCATGACAGGGACACCTCCCACTGTCCAATCTTAACCTCACTGTGTGAAAACCAGGAGCAGCCACACGGGGTCTCACCATACTTTAAATGATGAGAATATTGTGGGATTTCCCTGGGAACACTTTCCAATGGGAAAGGATCTTGAGGAAATACCTGCAGTGAGCCTTCCCAGGAGTTCCCAAGAGTTATTTTTCCCTGGAGAGCAGTGAAAAGTGAAGGAAGAGAAGGAGAAGGAGAAGGCGAAGGAGAAGGAGAAGGAGAAGGAGAAGGAGAAGGAGAAGGAGAAGGAGAAGGAGAAGGAGAAGGAGAAGAAGGAGAAGGAGAAGGAGGTACCTTTGATGAAGTCACTGATCTGGGCCTGCATGGGCCCCTTCTCCATGTTGTGCACCACGGCGTTGGCGATGCGGGTCAGGTGCCCCATGTTCCCTCTCCTCCTGCCGCCCTCTGCCCTGGAACAGAGAGCAGCCGCTACCCACGGAGCCGGGACACCCACGGAACCGGGATACCCATGGGATTGAGATACCCACAGAGCCAGGACACCCATGGAGCTGGGGTGGGATGCCCATGGAGCCAGGATAACCACAGAGCCAGGACAGAGCCCTGGGAATGGCCCCAGCATTACTGCCCCACTGGCCACAGCATTCCTGCCCCACTGGCCACAGCATCCCTGCCCCACTGGCCACAGCATTCCTGCCCCACTGGCCACAGCATTCCTGCCCCACTGGCCACAGCATTCCTGCCCCACTGGCCACAGCATTCCTGTCCCAATGGCCACAGCATTACTGCCCCACTGGCCACAGAATTCCTGCCCCACTGGCCACAGAATTCCTGCCCCACTGGCCACAGCATTACTGCCCCAATGGCTACAGCATTCCTGCCCCACTGGCCACAGAATTCCAGCCACAATGGCCACAGAATTCCAGCCACAATGGCCACAGCATTCCTGCCCCAATGGCCACAGCATTCTTGCCCCAGTGGCCACAGAATTTCAGCCCCACACAGGGATCAGCCCTGCTCTGGCAGGATGGGGTGAGCTCACCCCCAGGACAGGGACCTTCCCTCATTTTGCCCTGTTTTGGGATCCCTCCTCCCACTCAGGTAACATGGGAGGGCCTCCAAACAAGGAGCTAAACATGGAAAAGAGGCAGGAATAAATCTGACTGTAATTCCCAGGGAAGAAAACTCCCAAAGTTAAGGATCTACAGCTACAGGCAGAGCTCCAGGGTGGGGCTGGGATTGCAGCAGTGACTCCCCCAGAACAGAAGACATTCCCATCCAAGCATGGGATTCCCCCTGGGTTAAAACCAGTTCCCAGCACAGAGCCCAAGCAGCCCCGAGTCCCTGCTCTGGCTCCTCACTGCTTCCCTTCCTGCAGAGTGAAGCCGTGCTCCAAAGCAGCCCAGGGAATGGTTGGGTGGGCAGGGACCCCAGAGCCCCTGCAGTGCCACCCTGCCATGGCAGGGACACCCCCACTGCCCCAGTGTGTGCCAGCCCCAGTGCCCAGCCTGGCCCTGGCACTGCCAGGGATCAGGGGCAGCCCCTGCTGGTCTCCCTCTGCCCACTGAGAGCAGCCAAGGACCTTCCTGGAAACTCCACCTTCCCAAAGCCCCAGCTGAGATTCCTCTGCTTCAATCTCTATTTTTTTCCTTCCATTCAGATTCTTTCCAGCGTGGTGGTGACTGGAACTCTGGCAGGAAATGGGGATGAGCTCTGGCTCCTTTCTGGTTTAATCAGGAAGACTCCCAAGCAGCACCCAGGGATATTTTTGGTCCTACAGAACTGGGCAAGGAAATGCCCAGTAAAATTCCTTATGTGGACAAGGAACCAAAAACCCAAAACCCCAAACCACACCAACAACAAAAAAATGTAATCCGGATCTCAATCCACCAATTATGGCCTCAACAATTCCAGTGGGACTCCAAAGGCCTTGGAAGCCACCAGGAGCTCAAAATAGAGAGGGAGGACCAAACACTGAGCTGGACATGGAAACTGAAGCCTCTGGAATATTTCCACTTTAATGTTTTAGTTCTTTTAGAATATTTAGCTCTTATCAGCCCAATCAGCACAAAATCCAAGGGGTTTTTAAAGCTAAAATAGGAAATCCAGGCCACAAATGCTTGGCCACCCCAACTTCCAACAGTTTTGTACTCCGGGAAGAATAAAATCGTACATTTAAAACAAACAAACAAACAAGTTTAAAAAGTGAGTATTCCATGGGATTCCCTGAGAAAGCAGGTAAGGAGAAGACTGAATGTTTGGGATGGGGTGTTGGAAACATCCATAAAACCCACCATGCCTTCAAATCCTGTCCAAAATTTGGGAATTTGGCTTGTCAGCATGCAAACCACCCCAGTTCCAAATCCCAACCAAAATCCAAGTCTGTCTGGACACCATTAAAATGGAAATTCTCCAAGAATATTCCAAAGTCAATGTGCAGCCCCAGGCCAGCAATTCCTTACTGGATTTTGTCATTGGCTTCCCAGGCGTCCAATATCCTCTGCACCAGGCAGCACTTCTGGAACAGCTGTGGGGAAAAAGGGAGGATATTCAGGATTTTCCAAAGGAGAACTGTGGATCCTCCTGCTCCTTCCCTGGCTGCCCCTCAGGAGCTGCAGCCTCAGCCCTTCCCCTGCCCAAGAGCCCAATTCCTTCCTGGTTCTTCCCCAGAGATCCCAGCACAGAAGCAACACCTGGAGCATCCCCAGGCAGCTCCTGAGCCTGCCAGCAGCAGCAACTACAGCTCTGCTGCCTTTTTCCAGCCCCCACACTGAGGTCTGGCCACTGACAGCTGCAATGCTCTTGGGCAGTTTTTTGTCCAAAACTTGTAGTAGTTTTTACTTTAAAAAAATGGAATTTTAATAATAAATGGGGATAATTTTAATAAATATCAAAGGATTTACAGGGTCATTAAATGAGGGGAGTTTTAATGGGATGCTACAAATAAAGGCACAAAAGCAACCGCAGGTCCATGAGAACCACTACAAATGATAATAAGTAATAACAAAGCCCACTAAAAATAGATAAAAAATAATAATAAAACCCACTACAAATGATAATAAATAATAATAAAACCCATTAAAAATAGATAGCAATAAAGCCCACGAAAATTTGATAATAAGTAATAAAAACAATTTTTAAAGGTAATAAATTATAACAAAACCCACTAAAAATTTGTATACAAATAAATAATAATAAAAAAATCTGCACTGAGACAAGTGCCTGCTCTGGAACAGCCCACCCCAGAGATGTCCTGGTGACTCCAGCCCCTCCCCAGGGATCCCAGCCCCATCCCAGGGATCCCTGGTGACCCCAGCCCCATCCTAGGGATCCCTGGTGACCCCAGCCCCATCCCAGGGATCCCTGGTGACCCCAGCCTTACCACAGAGATCCCTGGTGACCCCAGCCCCATCCTAGGGATCCCTGGTGACCCCAGCCTTACCACAGAGATCTCTGGTGACCCCAGCCCCATCCTCAGAGATCCCTGGTGACCCCAGCCTCGTCCTAGGGATCCTGGTGACCCCAGCCCCATCCCAGGGATCCCTGGTGACCCCAGCCTCATCCTAGGGATCCCTGGTGACCCCAGCCCCATCCTAGGGATCCCTGGTGACCCCATCCTCACCACAGAGACCCCGGTGACCCCAGCCCCATCCCAGGGATCCCAGCCCTATCCTCAGAGATCCTTGGTGACCCCAGCCTCATCCTAGGGATCCCTGGTGACCCCAGCCTTACCACAGAGATCTCTGGTGACCCCAGTCCCACCCCAG